CAAGCTCTAACGGAGGTTAATCATCAACCCAATGGAACAAGTGCATTGATCGATTTCCCGTATGAAGACTGCGAAGGAGTCTTATCGGACATTGCAGAACAAGAATCAAGACTGCAGCATCTTGCAAAGGTCTCGTTCGTAGAAGTAGACATTAGAAACGCATTACCATTCTAGAGTTGGAAAGAGTACACAAAAAAAACCACCAGCAACTGTTTCCCGGTTTGCTCTTGCCCAATTGACAACGAATAGTAGCGATGGTTGATGATGCTTTCAAATATGATTCAACTTTGGGCAAACCACGAATTAAAATCTCTTTCTTTAGACAGTTTAGACGCAGAGAAATAACGGGTGCCATTTTGCTGGCAATGTTCCTTTAGACGTCTTTCTATGGTCATGACAGCCGAGCAGACGCTTAGGAAATCTAATCAACAGAAGAAGGAAGGAAAAACACTAAGACGATCATATCATAGGTTATGTATCATCTAGACAAGAGGTCCTACTACGGCTCTATTGTTCCCAAACCTTGTTTATTCCCAGACAGAAACAGAGTTTTTGTTATCATACATGTTCGTACTAACTTCACACGGTGAGCGAGGCGGTTCATAAGATCACTCGATTCTATTTCTTCAACAGAATTTGGATTACACTTAACAAGTATTGATTAATGTAAATCCTTTTATAATGTATAACCACTCTTCTACTTTGACAGGATTAGAACCTACAACACCATAATTACCGGAAACAATCTTCTACCTTTTGGATTATGTCACCAAGAGCTCACATGATATCGAATCTGGAAACGTGAAAGATTGAGATGAAAATAAACTGTTCTATCTTATCATTCGTTGGCGCGTTGCAAACCAACAACTGTAGATATCACCTAGGAGGAACGAAGAGAAGCTAAAATAGCTAACTGAGTCGCTGAAGCAAAATGAAGCTAGCTACGCACAACTAATTTGCTTGGAATCCCAGACCAAATATAAAAAAACATATATACAATTCACAGAGCGTTGAAGCCATCCAAGCCCCGCGCCCCCCGCCGCCTCCAAAGCTGCCGCGATGGCGGCTCGTTGATGGAGACCCCAGGATTGGAGCCTAAGAGGTTTGGTCCTGTATCTGTGTGTGCGTGGTGGCGCGAGATGTGTATGTGTAGTGAGTTATTGAAGTTGTTCTTTTCAATGTCCCAAGTTTGTACAACGACTTATTTCAAAGCTGACTGCAGGGCTTAGGCCTTTTGTTGGTACATATGGAGCTAAGCATCGGAGGAAGTATGTCTTGTTAGAAGTAGGGCAACATAGCTTGCATTAAGATGTAAAACCAGCTTTGATTTTCTCCACGAACCAAGTGACCAAATCACAATGCTTGAAGTGCCGTGGGTTCATTCGATGGGGAAAATAGGAGGTCTCAGGGTATGTAGTGAATGGAATGAGAGGATGGTTATATCACACAATAAGATTACGACTCGGGTAAGAGGGTGTCTTGGAATTAGGTTGCGTCACAATCCACTGCTCCACCCGAGCAACATCCTCTCGACGCACTGTCACACCCCCCCCCCCCCCTCAAGCTGGAGAATGAATGTTTTTCATTCCCAACTTGTACAACAGATTATCAAAAGCTGATGCAGCTTAGGCCTTTGTGTACATATCAGCAAGTCGAGCAGTTGTAGAAATAGGCAATAGCTTAAGTAAACCAGCTTTGATTTTCTCACGAACCAAGTGACAATCAAGCTTGATGTGCTGGGTTCATTCATGGAAAATAGGATTCTCAGTTATATGAATGAATGACTGGTTATCACAATAAAGATTAGCTGGTAGAGGGTGTGGAATATGTAAATCATGTAAGAGAAATTTGAGCCACTGTAACTCATAAGCAGTAGCCACCAATGCCCTATACTCTGCCTCAGAAGATGATCTAGAGATGGTAGTTTATTTCTTGGACTTCCAACTAATTAAAGAATTACCAAGATAAACACTAAATCCAGTTATTGATCTTCGAGAATCCACACAACCAGCTCAATTTGAATCGCTAAAAGCATTAAGTTGAAGTTGTAATTCTGCTGGAAAAAATAATCCATGCTATGCAAAGCGTGGTGATGATCAGTTGTAGGGGCAGACAAGAACTGACTGAGTTGATTGACAATAAAGGCTATATCAGGGGTTATAGTAGTTAAGTAGAGCAATTTGCTAATCAAGGTTAGGAGGATGGATCAGATAATAAAGAAACAGTGGCTGTGAGTTTTAAATGTCTAACCATTAGAGTGGCAGCAGGTTTTGAATTGGCATAATCAGTATCTTTAAGTAATTCAATGGCATTTTTTCTCTAACAAACTGATATACCAACAATAGACGGGGCTATTTCTAATCCAAGAAAGAATTTCAACTGGCAAAGGTCTTTGATTTTAAACAAACTATCCAATAATTGCTTAACTCTTTAAAATTCTGTTAGATCATCATCAGCAAGGATGATATCATCCACATAAACAAGTAATAGTATGAAAGAAGAAGCAGTTTTTCTAGTGAATAAGGAATAATCTAAAATAGATTGCTTATAATCATGTTGTATTAAAACATTGGATAGCTTTGAAAACCACTGTCTGCTGGCCTGTTTTAACCCATAAAGAGACTTCAATAACTTGCAAACATGATTTGGAGGGACTGAAGACAACCTTTGAGGTGGAATCATATACACCTCCTCAACTAAATCCCCATGCAAGAAGGCATTATCCACATCTAATTGATGGAGATGCCACTACTTTATAGCAGATAAAGCCAATAAAAGTCTAACAGTAGTCGATTTAATAACAGGAGAGAAAGTGTCAATAAAGTCTAAGCCCTCAATTTGGGTATACCCTTTCGCAACTAACCTGGTTTTATGCCTTTCAATAGAGTCATCAGCATTATACTTGACTCGAAAAACCCATTTACCACCTATTGGGACTTTACCAGGAGGTAAAGGAACTAATGTCCAAGTATGATTAAATTTGAAGAACCTACAATGTGACATCCTATTGAATCAAATCGTTGTATTTAGAGAGTCGAGTCGAGTCAGGCCGAACCAGAACACGGTTCGAGCCATTAGAGTCCAGAGTGGGGTAGAATGGGATTTACATTAAATAATTAAAAGAATTGGACTTAATTGAATTAAACATAAAGATTTAGACTAGGTCAGGCCGAACCGAGAACAACCGGTGTCGAGCCGATTAGAGTCCAGAGTGGAGGTAGATGGGGAAATTTTACATAAATAATAAAACGAATTTGACTTGAATTGACATTAAGTACATAAGATTGGGAGACTCGAATTGGAAATGTTAAAAAAGTATATTAAGGATTAGGATCCTAGATTTGAAAATAAATGTATTGAAAGTTTTTAGGTATTAGACTAATTGGACTTAATTGAATTAAACATAAAGATTTAGACTCAATTGAAATAAAAGTATAAGGATTAGGACCTAATTGAAATAAAGTATAAAGTTTAGGTATTAACTTGTAAAATATTGAAAATTTAGGTACTATTTAATTAATTTTTAACATAATATCAGATATATATTCAGAGTTTTACCCGAAAATTCCATTTCACTTTACCTTCTCGATCTTCTCCTTCGTATTCCTCAATTTTTTTCTTTTTCACTAACCCTTACTTTTTACCTTAATATTCAACCTTATTTAGGACTAAGAATGTTATTCAAGCATTAAATTCAACCTATAACTATATCCAAGTAAGTTGTTTAGCATACATGATGATATAAGCATGACATGACATAGGTTCAACCAGATTGTAGCGTCTCAATATGGTTCGTTTGGGTTATCGGGTGGACCGGGAAGGATGCTACATACAACTCATTATCTATAGCCTGTCTCCATTCTACATGCTTAATGGCTTGTGAAAGGTTTTAGGTTCAGAAATGGTTGATATATGGAAAAGATAATGAGAGTAAGATTGAGAAAGGTGAGTAGTAGAAAGCACAGAAGAAAGAGGATACCTGATAGTAGTTGGTGCAGTTTGACTACAAGTTGGATTGCATGCATAATCCTGCGAATGAGAAGGTAATTTTCTAGTTCTTTAAGATCTTCTTAAAGGAATATTGGTTTGTGGTTGTGGAGAGGAAGAAGGGACTGATTGTGATGGTAAAGAAGATGGTGGAGGTGGAAGTGGAGGTGGTGGCGGCGGCGGCGGCGGGTCTGGAAAATCAGAATATGAAATGTGATATTTATCAGATATTTGAGAAAAGGAAGGAGAAGAAATAGAAGAATAAGAAGATTCAGAAAAAGGAAATTTGGTTTCAATGAAATGAATATTTCGGGTGACTAGAATTTCTCTGGTTTGAAGATTCATAACAAGATATCCCTTTGTTCCAGACTTGTGACCAAGAAAACACATTTAATTGCTCTTGGTTGGAGCTTGGTTCTATAAGCTTGTAAAGAAGAAGCAAAACATAAAGACCCAAAAACCCTTAATTCACTATAATCTGGGATAGTGTTATATAACATTTCGTATGGTGTTTTGTCTTGAGTAAAGGTGTAGGGGTTCTGTTTATAAGAAAAACAGAATGCAAAGCAGCAAAAGACCAAAAACATTTGGGGAGACTAGACTAAAAAAGAAGAGCTCTAGTGACATTTAAAATGTGCTGGTGTTTTCTTTCAGCCACTGCATTTTGTTGTGGAGTTTCAGGACAAGTTGTTTGATGGTGAATGCCATGAGAAGAATAAAAGTGTGTTATCATGAACTCAAGACCATTATCACTTCTAATAGTCTTAAGAATAGAATTGAATTGTGATTTAACATAAAGAATGAAATTTTGAAGTAAAGGTTTAACTTCAGTTTTTGATTTTAAGGGAAATATCCAACTATATCTAGTGTAATCATCAACTACAGTAAAAAAATATTTATGACCTTGAATAGAAACAGTTGAAATTGGTCCCCACATGTCAGTATGAATAAGCTCAAAAAATGCATGTGGTTTTTTTTTTTACTAAGTGTAAAAGGTAATTTCTTTTGTTTGGCTAAAGGGAAAATTTCACATTTATGTATATCAGTAGAACAATAACAAGAGGTGCAGATTTATGAATAGCTTGTAATCTATGATAAGATGGATATCCTAGTCTAAAATGCCACAAATTTGACTGTGGAAATGAAACTGATCTATTTGAAATATAAGTAATATTGAAAATGGAAGCAGCATTAGTTGTAGTGAATAGGTGTGGTTGGAGCAGAACATACAATCCATCTTGCACTCTAGCTGAACCAATCTTCTTCTAGGTAAGAAGGCTCAGAATAGAACAAGAAAGATAAAAAAATGTAAGGAACAATGAAATGCAAGAGTGAGTTTAGTAACTGAAATCAAATTGTAATGAAAATTAGGAATATAAAGAACATCAACAAGATAAAATTTTGAATTAAAATGAATAGTCCCAGAAATGAGCTGTAAGAAAAGAACCATCTGGTAACTTGACTTTAATAGGTTTAATTCGTTTGTAGGTTGTGAAAAAAGCTAAAGAAAAAACAAACATGGTCAGTAGCACCAGTGTCTAAAATCCAAGTATTAGATTTTGTTAGGGCAGAAGGAAAAGGATTACGTTGAGGATTATTAAGAGATTCAGTAATAGGTGGCTGGGAATGATCAGAAATGGAACTCACAGTAGCATGCTGAGTAGAAATAGGTATAGACACTGTAGCAGAAGGTTCCTCTGGAATCAAAGACATTAACTTCTGATATTGTGTGGCTGTAAATGTGAAGTTGGATTCTAGAGTTGCAATAAAAGAGTCTGCACTAGAATTCTGGTTTGCCTCAGTAACAACAACATGAACTGAAGTATTAGCAGGTGCAGAATCTTGAAACTTAAAGCCATGAGGAAAGCCATGTTTCCAATAACAATTCTCAACAGTATGCTTGAATCTTCCACAGTAGCTACAAACTTTAACAGGACCTGAGCCAGAAAAATTAGCTCGAGGTCTAAAAATAGAAGAGTGTGCAGAATTAGGAGGCCTGGTACCAGCTGGAAAACAAAGAAGTCTTGGTCCATTACTAAAGCCATAACCAGAAGGGTTTGCACCATTGCTGTAAAATCTAGGACCATTACTCAGTCCATAACCAGAAAAACTTGCAGCATTTTCAAGTCCAAAATTGTTCTTAAAAGCTCTATTAAACAAAGCTTTAGACTCCTCATGACTATGATACTGTTTTGTCGTTCTTATTGTATCACCAAAGAGAAAACCTTGTTTATTGAAGGCAAAGACTCTAACATCAATATCTGAGGCTTAACTTGATTATATTGATCATTCAAACCTCTAAGAAACTTAATAACATAGTCTTTATTCATGTAAGCTCGAAAGGTCAGTATAGCTCCACAAGAACAAGGCACATCACAAGTACAAGAAGGAATGGGTCTAAAATTGAGTCATTCATCCCAAAGCACCTTCAATTGTGTAAAATACTCTGTAACAGATAGCTCACCTTGCTTGAAGCAAGAAATTTCCTCTTGTAAATCAGCTATAAGAATTAAGTCTCCTTGAGAAAACCTCTCTTGAAGATCATTCCAAACATCAACTGCTTTATCAAGCCATATAATGCTCTGTGCAATCTGAGGAGATAGCGATCGTGTAAGCCATGATAACACCATTGTGTTACAACGCTTCCAAGTTGAGTACAAAGCATTAGTTGTAGGTGGACATGGAAGTGTCCTTTCAATGAAATCCAATTTATTCTTCAAAGCAAGCGCCATCTTCATAGCACAAGCCCAAGCATGATAATTGGAACCAGTCAAAACTGGCGAGACGAGTACAATTATAGGATTTTCATTGGCATGTGAAAAATAGGGATTATAAGGATTGTGTAAGTGATCAGTAGCCATTTAAAAGAAATTGAAAGAGAATTTGAGAGATTTCAAGAAGGAATTGAAGAATTATTGAAGGAGAAACTAAGTAAGGATCATATCAAATGAAATCGTAAGGAAATTTGATCAGAACAACGTTGTTTGGTTTTAAGGAAAAGTAGCAGTTGAAAAAGAAAATGAGCAGTTGAGAAAGAAAATTCAGAGAAAATTCTTTGCTCTGATACCATAATACGAAAGTGAAATGAATTGAATGAACTTTCTCATTTATCAATTGTGCAACCAATAGCTTATACACAGGAGAAGAGAACTAAAAAATAGCCAACCGAGTTACGCTAACAAAATGAAACTAGCTGGCCTAACTAATTTGCTGAATCAGCAAAAGAAAAAAAAAATAAAAAAAAATTACAATTGAACTATTACTGTACCTATCTGTTTCTTTTCTAATCTAGTAAATTTCTTTCTATCACCAGTCATATGCCTAAAGCAAGTGTTGTCCATGTAACACATTTCTATTTTCAGCTCACACCTTAGGCACATCTGAAAATATCATGCAGATTTACGTACTCAACATGTATTAGGTGCTGAAAGGTTAGTGGAAACAGGTGTAGATTCTTTTTCATTCTTTTTGCTATGATTTTTCTTTTTGTCAAGACTGCTAGATTTTTCAAAGTGCTTCTAATATTCTAAAATCACAACATTAGAAATGGCATTTTTCTTAACAGAAAACTGATTCTGACTTGAAGTGCTATCAAAGATAGAGCGTGTCTTTTCTTTTGTAAATGATTCTAAAATTGACTTTAGAATTCTAATCTCAAAGTTTAAAGACTCATTTTCAGAATTCAGATTTTTGCATTTTTTTTCAAAGTGTTTCAGATTTTCAGAAAATTTCTCATTGCAATCTTTAATATCTTTGATCTCTATAATAAGATCTTTGCATGTAACTTCTTGATAAAAAGCATATTTCAAATGATTACATTCAGTTTTCAACTTTTTGGATTTTTCAGAAATAAATTTCTCAACTTGCCAATCTTTATATCTTTGATCTCTATATATATCTTTGATCTCTATAATAAGATCTTTGCATGTAACTTCTTGATAAAAAGCATATTTCAAATGATTACATTCAGTTTTCAACTTTTTGTAATCCTTTTTTAGAACTTTATGCTTTTTAGCAAGCTTTTCAAATTTTTCAAATTTAGTGCAACAGTTATTATAAGTATCTAGAAGATCACTTTCAGATTCAAGTTCAGAAATACTTACATCATTTTCATCTTATTTTTGTCCTGTTGCATCTTCTTTGCTACTTTTAGATTTCTGTGTTGAAGTCAGAGTGTTTTTTTCTTTAGAGTCAGAATTGATAATGGCCATCAGACAGATAGTTGTAATTTCCTCCTAGTCACTTTGACTTTTAGAACTAGAATCGTCTGAGTCACTCCAAGTAGCTACAAATGCTTACTTCAACTTTTCTTTCTTTGATTTCTTTTTCAGCTTAGGACAGTTAGGTTTGATATGACTGGGTTTGTTGCATTCATAACAAACCACTTCAAAAGGTTCTTTTTTAGGCAAGTTACTATTTTTAAAGGAAAAGTTTTTTTTCATAAACTTTTTCTGTGGCCTTCCACCTTTCTTATAAAACTTTTTGAACTTCTTGCAACAATATCTAGGTCATGGCTGTCAAGATAAGAAGAACTTTCTTCACTAGAAACTACTTTTAAAGCAAGTACTTTCTTTTTTTTATCTTCTACAGTCAAAGAAGATTTCATCTCTTTTGAGATTTCATCTCTTTTGAGACAAAAAGCTTCCCATCCAATAATCCTAGGTTACTAAGAGTCTCTTTGTAGGTTCATGACAGTTCCTATAGAATCCCATTTTGGGTTAGAAATTCTAAAGGCATTATTCTTAAACCAAGGCTCATCTTTTTTGAAATTTCCTTCCAAGAGTTTCCTATAGAATCCCATTTTTTGGGTAGAATTCTAAGGATTTTCTTAACAAGCTCATCTTTTGAAATTTCCTTTCCAAGAGTTCTCAAAGGATTAACTTTTTTTGTGAATCTGGAATTTAGATCAGTTATAGTCTCTCCTTCTCTCATGCTAAACATTTCATATTCTCTCTAAAGGATATTGATTCTAGATTCCTTAACTCGATCGGTATCCTAATAGGTAACTCTGAGTTTTTCCCATACTTTCATTGCAAACTAACATCCAAAAACTTTGTTGTATTATGTTGGATCTAATGCAATTGAAGAATATTGATGGCTTTTGAGTTTATAGAAATATTATTCCAATTAGCATCAGTATACTCTTCTTCTATCTTTCAAACTCTTACATTTTCAACAATTTTCATAGACATGCGAGGACCAGTAATGATGTTCCTCCAACAATTTATGCCAACTGATTTTATAAAGTTCTCCATTCTAGTTTTTCAGTAAGAGTAATTAGAACCATTGAACGAAGGTGGTCTAGGAATAGATTGACCTTCTAAAGATGTAAGAGGAAGTAGGGTTGCCATGAAATCTTTTCTCTTAAGCTGTGAAGCTTTGGTAAGTCAAGAGATGAGCTTTGATACCAATTGTGGATCTCGTTTATATATGGCACAACCTAAGAGGGGAGTGAATTGGGTTTTCAAAAAATTTAACTGTCAAAACTCAATATCACAATTATGTTGCAACAGAATTAAAAAGCATTTGTGAGAGTTGGTTATCAAGTTTAGAACTTTCGCACAAAGTTGTAGCAAGATTAGAAAGACTCTATGAAGAACAGTTATTACGTTTAGAACTACTTCACAAAGCTTATGCAAGATTAGAAAACTGATTAAACTCAAATTTTGATTTCTACTAAATATAAAATGACATATTAGAACTTGGTAAAATCACAATACAGAATGTAGAGTTCTAATGATCCACAAAGATAAAGCTTATTCACGTTTAGAAATAGAAACTCATTAACAATCTTACATTTCTAAAAAAAGATTAACAATTATGTAAACAAAACATAATCAAGCAATACTCCAGAAAATAAAAGAAAATAAACACAGAGATTTATATTGGTTCAGCACTAACTCGCCTACATCTACTCCCCAAGACTCATCTTGAGATCCTCCATTATGTTTTCTTTTTTCAAGGGTAAGAGACAAACCAACTTTACAAGGAAATAGATCAACACCTAGTTCAAGGGTAGAGACAAACCCAAGACTCATCTTGAGATCCTCCATTATGTTTTCTTTTTTCAAGGGTAAGAGACAAACCAACTTTACAAGGAAATAGATCAACACCTAGATCTAACCTTTATCCCACTAGACTTCTGAAGGTTCTAGTCAACCTTTTCCCTTTCTGTTTTGCAGAGAACAAAAAACTCAAATCAAGACATTAGAATCTCACACAAGGAGAATGTCGCTTGATAACCTTTTACACCATAGCTTTTCGCCTAAGCTATTACACAAATGTTTTTAGTTTAAACAACCTCTAATCTATAACAGATTACAACAATCTATATAGACAGAGAGAAATACAATTATAAGCACAGGAAGAATAGAAATCAGATTTTGAAAATAGAAAGAAAGTCTAGAACTGTTCTTCAAAAAGTATTATTACCAGATTTCTTTTCTCTTAAAAAAATATCTCTTAAAGAAAATAGATGAAAAGAATTAAAAGAGGGATTGAAGAGAGAGCTTTGAGAGATTTAAATTTTTGAACAATGGACTCTTACTCTTACGAACACTATTTTTGGAAGAAAAAAAATATTTTTATAAGAGGAATGAAAATTCCATTAAAAAAGACGTTGAAATTTTGCTTTAATGAGTAACTTTGACATTCCAAAAATAAATAGACAATGCGTGAATAATTTTCACAGAGATTTATTTAATAGTTACTAAAAAAAATTTATTTTTCCCAAAATCTTTTTCATTTAGGTAGGCGTAGACAGGGGTGGCAAAAATTCAATTTTCGGAACCAGAACCGTCGATTCCGAACCGGTGGGAACCAGAACCAGATCCAAACTGGTTCGATTTTGATTCCACCAATTTTGGAACCCTAAACCAGCGGTTCCAATTTCAGTCAGAATCGACGGTTCTAGTTTCGGTCGAAATCGTCCGAAACCAGTCAGAATCATCCAAAACCGGCCGAAACTGTCTAAAATCGATCAAAAATTGATCGAAATCGTCAATTTTGAAACCGTTGAGGAATCGAAACCTTTCGGTTCCAAATCATAACCAAAACCATTAATTTTTTGTTCGGTTCCGATTCCAAATTTTATGGAACCGGAACGGGCAGTTCCGGAACCGTGGCCACCCCTGGGCATAGAGAAAAGAGGAAAGATTTGGATTTTTCCTTTTTTAAGGCAATTTTTTAGAATATCCAAAAAAGGATTTTAAGAGAGGGAAAAAAAATATCTTATGCTTATAAAGAAATTTTCTTTCTATTCTACATTAATTTCCTAGACTTATTATAATACTAACCAAATAATAACATCTTCATTGATCTTCATGGTCTTCAAATAAAAGTGTTGGATTATAGAATCTTCAAATCTTCTGAATATTTTTGCATACAATAACTTTAGTACACCCAAGAATATTAAATTTATTCGTTTTGCATAATCATCAAAATCTTAGGATAAAATTGACATTGAGCCAACAAAAATCCTTAAATTTATATTCTTACCATATATATCTTTTATAATATATAATATAATTTATTATTTTATTCAATATAATTTATATTTAAATAGGAAATTATTTTATTCAATATAATTTATATTTAAATAGGAAATTAAAATCCTTAATAATTAAATTAGCTTTATTTTTCAACCAATAACATTAAAATTTTTAATAATTTTTTATTTAGAATTAGATCAAACTTCCTATAGTTGCTAGAACATACTTAATAAATATAAATAAAAATTATTCTATTAATTCGTAAATAAAGGAAATTAAGATTATACTTATTGCAAGAAGAAGACATGATTGCAAACTCAATCATTTTCAAATTAGCAAATCTCGATGTAATAATTCTTGATAGTCAAAAC